CAAAATCTGCAATGTAGGTTTTTGGTCATCTGAACGCGAGAGGAGCCGCGGGCAATGCTAGTATTTTATAAAATATACAATTCTACGTAAACAATATCAATTAAAGGTCTATTTCCCTTGCTTTCTTTTCCCGGACATTTTGTGTTACGCTTATTTTCCATCGCCCTGCTTCTATTTACCCCACGTATGCATTGAGTTTAATGAAGTTTGTTCAGATCTCAGTCCATATGTTTGGATACGATTTTAAACTCGATAATAGGGTGGTGATTGATTCTGTATTTGTTTTATACTTCGCAACGCCTATGGTGGATGAAATTAACAACACCTCTTGCAAATATACAGATTATATGAGTACATTATGTAAATATACATAATATAGAAAATAATTCTCATTAAATTTGAATAATAAGTATATTTTATATACTTATTTTTCAAATTTAACGAGAATTATTTTATTATCTGTCTGTATTTTATAGATTTTATCAATTTATAAAGAGATAATTATGTAAAAGCATTTTGATTATATACAAGCTGCCTATCTCATAAAGGTTATTAATTCATATAGATGACAGCTTAGATTAAATTATTTTTATCCTAAATACCTGTCAATACAAAATCCGATGTATCTATACATATCTATACATATAATAAAATTGTAACTAAGCCGAATCTGTACATTAAATATTTTTTGGAAAATCTCATTGAAATAGACATTATTATCGATACAGAGGCCGAATCTATAGTTTTTACAATTTTTGTCTTTCTGTCTGTTTTTTTATCTGTCTGTCTGTTAACGCATCACAGAAAAACCACTGGAAAGATTTTGATGAAATTTGGTATGGTGATAGCTGGTTATCTGGGTCAACATATAGGATACTTTTTACCGCGGGAAAATATCTCGTTTCTGAGAAAAAATACAAAAACTGCAATGTAAGAGTATACTAATACATATGTAAAACCTGAGTATTTGGTTTTTGGTCAACTGAACGCGGGCGGAGCCGCGGGCAATTCTAGTATTAAAAATAAAATTGAAGTGTCTGTCTGGGATAAAAAATAGCTATGTTGTATGTTGTTAGCATGGACGAATTAGAGACTGGACCTGACATATAATACAAATGTATGAAAACTAGTTCAACCAAGTGACGCATAACGCACACAAAGATTTTGTTACATTATTATAAACACTGATACACAATACAATATTTCTAGTGTTTGAACGTAATCGATAAAATACATATATCGATGAACCAATGAATGACATTTTAGACATTGGTTAGCATAGTCATCATATTTTACATCTTTTAATTTAAAATATGTGTATTTATTATAATAAATTAAAATAAATGAATTAAAGAGGCAATAATAATGTGTCAAATAATAATTATTTTTTAATTTGATTTATATAAATACGATGTCATTGATGGCAACATTCTGTTGGCCTATAATAATGTTAATAAACAAATGAATATCGGGTGTATATTCCATTAATATATAATAAATATTATTTTGTAAAGATTAAAAAAATATTAAGCTAATTTAATTAAATAAAGTGATTTTGTTGATTCTGTTATTGAACTATTTTAATTGGCAATTGATTGTCTCGGGTAGTTATAAAAATGTGACACTGTCCTAATATTGCTCAGTTATTAATAAACATTTGTAAAATTAGGAAAAAGAAAAAGTGATTGCAAATTGTGAAAAAGTGAGTGTTGGATCGTGAAAGTAAAATAATTAGTGCAAGTGGTAAAGTGTTTTATTACAAATCGCCAACCCAGAAGTTTAGTGCTAAAACATTATTGTTTGATTTTGTGTAATTTATGTGTTGAAATAAAATGATCTTTATTATTATTACAATGGAATAATATTCCAAAGTATATAAATGTGGTATAAAATAAAATATAAAATTAAGTACACATACTAATTATAATTTTTGCATTTATATTTTTATTTGATTTAGAAAATATTTTTATAAATTTATTGTCCTCAGATTGTAGTATACTGTGATAAAAGTATTTTATGTTATTGTACTGTACAAATAACACAATTCGTTCAGTTATTTCGTCAAATATCGATATATTTTTCGACATTGTCAAGCACTAGTCGATGTCAAATGGACTCACTCGACAGTTTTGTCATTTGTTCTGAATGGTATAATCCAGCCCGTTTTTGATGGTTGTCAGATGTCAACAATACATAGAAATATCGACTATATTTAACATATTTGGATAATATGACATTTTATTTTACATTTAATTAAATTTTGTGATAAATAACAATAAATGTAATAAAATAATGTATTTACAAGTGAAAAGAAATAGTGCTGCTTCCGCCGTTATAGTTTTTACACCATTTAACAGAACATTTAGTCATTTTTGGGAGATGTTTTGTTGACAAGTAAGTGCTTGAGACTGACACAAAAAACAAACGACCTAGGCTAAAATTCCCTGGTTACTGACATGACCGTTAAAGGTACGTCCGCTTATATGTCTGGTCCAGTGGTTAATTCGTTCATGGTTGTTAGCTTTATCTATGTATGTGTTTGAGACGTCTATAACCTTAGTCTCTCCCGTGACCATGATTGCTGTAAAGCATTCGAAAACGTCATGAACCAAAAATCACAATAAATCCGCGAAATAATCCGAAAAAATAGTTTTATATAAAATAGCTATGTTTCTCAAATACAAAGAGTTATTTAAGAGATGCCAGTACCTAAACAATCCTTTAAAAATCTGTTAGTCTGTCTGGAAGACAATCTTTAAAATGAATCTTTAGAAAGGCTTAACTATTTGTAATGAGACTTTCATTGAAATATAGAGGAGTTTGTAGGGCTACCTATAGAATATGTTTTATTCCGGAAATATTAAGTATTAGTATGTTTATTGATGTTAGTTCTGTTTTTTGTTTTTTATTCTGATTATATTTTTGTTATGTTCCTATAAAATATTATCAACATCTGAAAATTCATCAATACCAAAAAGTGACTCTAAAAATCCTAAAAACAAAGGAGTAAAATCCCGAAATCAAATAATCATGGCGTATAAATATTAAATAATATCGAAATATCACTCAAACAACAAACATAACAGAAAGAAAAGAACCGGTAGCAGAGAAGGCATGCTATTGATCCGACGCTAATGCCTCTAATCCACTTAGAACGTCTTCCGGAATAAGTATGAGTGACATGGGATTATAAGAGCCGGTTAGTTTAAGTAAAAATGTGTAGTGATTTGGGAATTTTGTAAAATACAGAGGGCTGGAATTTTAAGGGAAACACTTGGAATTAATTCAGGAAGTTGGAGATTCACAATTTGTGTAACAATTTTGCAAGTGGAATTTTACAAAAATGTGAAATATGTGTCTCATTATTTTTAATAAGAAATATTTGTACTTATTTTCACAACCGTATTCGTTCCATAATGCTTAAAGAAGACTTTAAAACATGAATGTCCATAACTTATTTAAACTTTAACATAACTTATTGTTATGGTAACAATATATATGTTGACTTACCTTAGTTTTTTCTTGATTATGAATGAGTAATACGTATTGGCGCGTACCAGGAATATTACCCACCACTCCCATTTCTTCATGAAGAAATAATATCGGTGACTTATATTTCTACCACCACCAGCCATTCCCAAGTTTGAATCACATAATATTATACATTTTTTTCTTATGAATCATCATTACTATAGTTATGTATTTAATTAAGAGTAACAACTACTGCATCCATTATCTCATGTAATATTTACAGACAGTCGAGACAAAGCATGAATTATAAAGCCGTGATGCCAATCAGGTATTATCCAGAGCGCAGATAATTAGTAAATGGATTTGTATCACAATGGAGGCCGACCGCGGCACAGAGTTAAAGCGCGCACCAAAAAGATCGCAGATAGCCCAGCCTTTGATACTTTTGCCGCAATTTTGGTTAACATACCTACTAAAAACATAGATTACAACTTTAACTTTAGTTAAAATTAAAATAATTTAGTTTAGATATTTATTAACAACATATTTACTTTCCAAATGGCACTGATTCGAAAGTTAAGATCTTAAAACAAAGTTTTGAATTAAGTTATCGCTAAATAAGTGTACAAACAATTAATTTCCCGGAAATTCGCATTGAAGTGTTGATATATTTATTGTTGATCAATTTAATAACGATTTGGATATTGAGACTTTAAAAACTTTAAAAGTGGCTCAAAGAAAAATTTAGACAATGAATTTATAAACTCCTGCTACACGGCAGAAGATACGTCAGCTTTTTAATTTTAGCTAGATATTGATGTCTTTAATATTACATCCAATATAACCAACAATATTTTTATTGATCCTTCGATAACAAAAGATCAAGAAATATCTATTTGAAATATCTTCAGCGACGTTTCATAAAAGTTTATTTCTCCACAAATTTCCCGGTAACCAAAGAAGCTTCAAGAATGAATGGTCGTACCGAGTATCCATTCTATTCTCAGAGACTTCACTGGCAAGCGTCATAGCGTTTATTTATCATCTAATATCGTCTAGCATTGTGCGACGAGTATCAATAATTCATGCAGCCTGTGAATTATACGCGATCATCTCCATGGATTTTCTCTCAATTTCCTGATAGATTGCGATATGAAATGGTAGAAAACTAGTTTTCGAAGTCTTTTTGTAATTTGATTTTTGTTACTTGTTTTTGGTTTTTAACGAACAAGAATTTTTAATGTATAGAACTTTTGCCTTTCATGGGCCTTAGTATTTTTCTACTGTACAGATTATATCCGTTCAATATCAAAAATGATTGGCAGTCTTTACAATATTACATTAAAATATTTTTATCAAAAACCATTAAGAACCTTTAGCACGACTAAACTAAATAATTCATTGAATATATATTATTGAAAATGTAATGAAAAACAATATAAACAGAAAATCTTCTAAATTTTTTCAAAACTATAATAATAAATAAAAAGAAATTAATATAAGTATATATTACGTTATTATTCTACTTAGCTTAGATGTCCTAACAGTCTTCTCACATAAACACCATTTACTTTCGTTAACCCATACACAGGTATGGCCTTTTTAACATTAACATTATTTTCAAATTCTGAATCAACATCTGAATGTGATTCCAAATTATCTCCATCAGGTGAAGGATCTTCTAGAAGTTTCAGTGCTTCTTCTTCATTCAATATTTGTTTCACTTTTTTTGGTTTGCTACGACTTGCATTTATAAGACTTGGGCTGCTAGTTAATTTAAAAATTATATATATATATATATATATATATACATTATATATATATATATATATATATATATATATATAATTATATATATGAAAAAGTATATATATACATATATACATATATATACTTTTTCATAAAAATAACAAGAATCATTATTTTAAGGATTCAATTGCATAAAATGAACACTCAGCTCACCTGGTTTTCTCCTTATACTTTAATAAATGTTTTTTGTTTTTTATTTCTTCTATAAATGATTCCGCGGCTTTCTTAGCAAAAATCTGAGCTAATTCATTTAAATATTTTAAAAATGTTTCAGATGTTAAAGAATCAATGATTTGTTTTGAATCAAGTTTAGCAACAACATCAAAATCTTTAGCTTGAACAAAAATAAGAGAAAATGTAATGAAAAGTCGTTTTATGATAAGCATTGTGAAAGGAATCTTGATTATTAAAGCAATAAAATTATAACTGCTTATTGAAGTATTACGACTACATACTTTGATCGATCTTCAAAGCCAATATTCGTTGAAATTCTCTTCAAACTCTCATTACATTACATGTGCCTTGTGACAATATGAACAATATAAATGAACACTAGATTTGAGACAAGTTATATATTCCCTACTAATAATATACTCACATTTGAAAAGTGGGTCTAAAATTATGTTTTTATATAATATATTTTATATTCTTTATATATTCGAGTTTCGAGATATTCGAGTTTTTATAATAACAGAATTTATCGTATTGATTTCTAGCACCTGCACTAATAAATTATCATTACATTAAACCCTGTGTCTTGATGGCATGTTTGTATTGAGCTAAACATGTTCTCAATCGCATCATCGTGTATTTCACAATAAAGAGCAAATTACAGAAATGGAATCAAACTGATATTACTATATTAAAATTATATTTTATATCACAACTAATGACTCACCCTCGCTCCGTTTCGATTCGTCCCTAGTTACGTTTTAACGTTTAGATTTGTGAGAAATGAGATATTTTGCCACAAAATGTATCCTACATGTTGACCCAGATAACCAATCATCATACCAAATTTCATCAAAATCTGTCTAGTGATTTTCTCGTGATGAGTTTCCAGACAGACAGACAGATAGACAGACAAAAATTATAAAAACTACAGATTCAGCCTCTGTATCGAAAATAATGATTATTTCAATAAGATTTTCCAAAAAATATTTATTGTTCAGATTCGACTTATTAAAATTTTATTATACGTATATACCTATATATTTGGTAATTTCTCGATCTATGTATTAGACTGAGATGTATGTATGTACATGTCTATGTTAAATAATCACTAGCAAACCACCTAAATCCATTTATTTAAACATTATTTGTCCATTTTATTTCATAAAATATCCCATGAAACACATTTGACCCACCAAAATGATTAGAAATCGAACACAATCTCGTAATTTTTGCTCAACTAATAGATCCATCGTTAGTCTAATACTGCCTATGAAAAACCTGAAACAATCTCCAATATTATTAAGGTAACATGATGGAACGTGTTTATGAAAATAGCTTAACTTAACTTTCCTATGGAAAATAGCCGAAGTTAACCAAGGCACTTTAATATCCACTCTCCACAATTAATATGTTACTCATTTGATTACGGGATTGAAAACCACGCTCCCACTAAGCAAGAACAGGCTAAAATCATTTATCTCATGCGAGAAATACAACTACAACCTGCTTCATAATAGGTACTGCGAATTTAATTTTTTTTACTTATTTAAAATTTTAATACCAACTAGTATATATATATACAGGTTCATTTTTAATTTACTGAAAACCTGGGAATATACTATTTATATCATAACAACAACATCTGTAACAAGAAAATATATATATATATATATATATATATATATATATATATATATATATATATAGGCATATATAGCCCATGGTTTCTCGGGTGATTATTACTTTTACAAAAATGAGCCTATCTATATCTTCTATATGTAGGACATGAGCTATCTGAATAATAAATTTCACTCAATTAACTTGAATTAATTATTTGAATTAATCAATATCTTTATCTTATTTTTCCATTTTTGTTAGTTGTTTTGTTTTTTTTTTCATTGTCACTGCTCTAATTTATGAAATATGTTTAAGTGGAAACTTTGCTAGTTTGTGTTTTATATATAATTTCTAAATTCTAAGCAGGTAATACTATACTGTATTTTCCCAAATATATTAAAAATAAAACAAAAAACAAAAACACACATACATTCGCATTTTTAATATTAGTGTAAAAGTAAAAGCAGTTTATTTTATTACATATATAACATTTATCGCTTTCCACTTCTACGATAATCTCTGTTCTAAATTCCAGATAACCGTTAGTTTCCCTCTTCAATTATTGATAGAACGAGGCATTCAATAGTGTTCCTCTTCATATATATATATATATATATATATATACCTATATGTGATAAAATCAAATATGAACAATATGAAAACCTTTAGATAACCTAATTAATGCCTCATATTAAAAGATAATATCTGGTTAAGTATAAAAAAGTATAAAAAAGAAGTATATGTAGACACTTGCTTAAAATATTATTTCAAAGTGAGTGTGAAATTTATTCTTATTCTAACTAATCCACTTAAGCAAGTTGAATCTCTTTAATATATATCGACAATAAATATCTAGATATAAAACAAAAAAATATTGTAATTATATATTATTCTGATACGTTTTCTCATCATTTACTTAAATTTTTCTATTAATAATAACGATAGTCATATTGACCAAGTAACTACATTTCATTGCCACTTTACAGAAATAAAAACTTCAATGAATTATAATACAAAATTACTCATGGGCGAGCATAATGCTAGTAAAAACTGGACCAATAAAGAGCAATAAAAGGGCAGAGCCATCGACAGTATTAAATAAGTGTCATAAAGGAGCAACAAAGATGGCTAGAAGTGATTCGGCTATCAGAATAGTCGTAAAATGTTATGCACTGGCCGTAACATGGCGTAATTCGATATATTGCGTGCTAATAAGTATGTCCATTGCCTTAAATACAACGTTATTTTTCTCGTCAGTACAATAATATATGGTAACAACTATAAATTCCCCGATTCGTCAGTACAATAATATATGGTAACAACTACAAACTCCTCGATAATCTTGTCAACTTATAAGGATATAAAAGATGAGGTCCTAGGTTCGAGTTTAATCTCAGGGCAAAGAGTTTTCCTTTGAGAAATTTGAGCAGCCAATAATTGGGTACTTGGTGGGGTTAAATCTCTATACCTTCGTGTTTTATTCCTAAGTCTAATATTTTTTGATAGTGTCAAGTTATGTGTTAGATCAGCAATATTGGTTTCTACACTTTAAAATTGAAATCCTATGTAATAGCTTTATTATTAACCAACATTGCTTAGCAGAAAACTATCGTATACTTTTTTAATTCAATTCAAATTTCTTCATAATGGCTTCAAAGCGTGCAAGTAGAGCATAGATTACTTCGTCAATGTCACGTAGAATGGAGAAGACGCGTATTCTTTTTTTTAAGTTTATATCTGACTTTCATCAGGACATTCCCTTACTTTTGATCATATCATCGGTGATATTCTGAAGTTGAAAAAAACTTTCAAAAGCTAGCCAATACAAATATTACCTGATACACATGGTCTTAATACAGATGAGTTCAATTCAATTATTTTAATTATTGTGTGTTCGTAAATCATATTTGACTTCGCCAATGTTAAGTTGAATGGGATATACATAAGTTTACTACTACATGGCATGCGAAGGACGAACTGGTATTCTAAGCTTTTTTATCTATCTCGTAAGAATCAGTGCGTAAATGTTATAAAAACGTGTTTCTCGATATAAAATACACGTCTGAAAGAGCATATGAAGCTATTACTGTCCTTATACGTATTGCATTTTTATGGCAACATTATTATTTCACTACCTGTTGCTTTAAAGCTAGCTATCACTAACCTGCTTCTTTACATATTTATGTTCATTGAAATTCAAAACAGCGATTAGTTAAATTTTATAGAAATAAATATGAAAATTAGGGCGCATCCATAACTTCCAATTAATGTAACAAAATGAAATGTCCCTTTTTAAACGGATGAGAAATCCCAAAATAAATTATTTTATCTTAATTTGTTCATCAAAAACGTACTACAGTGTAAACATCAAGAATATCGTCAGTGTGCAATCGTAGCAGAGTTGCGCTAGTAAAAGTTAATGAACCAGGCCTATTGCAGGAATGTAAGACATCTACCCATATATTTTTACAAATGCATAGACAATTCTTGGTGTTTTCTGATTGATATGTCATTCATGAGTACATTATGTAAGAAAAAGTTCCAATATGTTATAAATCTTGTGAAGCATGCGTAAAAGGCTATACAATATAATTATGAATATCGGACTACTATTATAAATACGAAAGTTAAAAATAAATGAATAAAATAAATAAATTTTATATGTTTGTTATTCGACGAAATTAAGTATACAAAGATAGTAAATATAGTAAATTTTGTACCTGGCCTATATGTTATAGGCAACTAGGGATGCAACCCTACGAAACGAGGGTAAGTAAAATTATTTGCAAAGTTTATGAAGCGAAGTGTGATAAACTGTTATACTGTTTATCTTACAAACAACGAATAGTCCCCAAAGCATATTAGTATATTGTAAGCGTTATCGTAATCAACTAATAGAGTTTTAAAAATAATATAAATTTTCTTAACCGACTATGGCAGAAAGATGGTTATTTTACTTACGGTCTTACTCAGCTATCGACCAAATCGAAAAGTAAGAAATGAACGAAATAGAGATTTCCAACTAAAGCCAAAGGAATTATCAAGGTGTTAAGAGGATCCTATGTAATATGTATAATAATATATAAAACGATTTTAGCAAAGTAGCCTGTTTGAGAAAAGCACACGAACGTGGGGTGCGTCAGAGAAGTGACAAGCGCGGTATCGACGTCAAGCGGGTATCAACGTGGCATAACAAAAATTGGATATGGTTATTTAATTATACAGAACTTTTTTTTATTATATCGTAGTATGTGTATATAATATAATGTTGTTATTAAAAATTAACGAATACATGGTTTTAAAGATTTAAGAATATTTTTGGTACTGGATACACATTTAACTGTATAAATGAATAAAATAGATATACTTACAAATTAATAAGCTCTGCCTCAAATACCCATATGTGTTTCTTCATTAAAGTAAAGTGAAAAAGAAATTAAATAAAAAAAAAATTGCCTCATCAAATTTTTTCTCTCTCTACCCGCATACCTCTGCAACAGTCCGCCTCGCCGCGCCACACGCCTCACCGCCTCGTTCCGAATTCAAACGGTTGACGCGCCAAATTGGAATTGTTTTTCATTTTTCGACTGTTAAA